AGGGAAAATGGTTTCCCTGCTGTGAGCACCCTCCCAAGCGGGTCGCAGTGGGACAGGTCCTGGGTTCAATTCCCCCCTTCCGGGCCACTTTTTGTTTTGGGGTGGGTCCTACAGACCGACACCTTTCCCAGGAAAGTTATGGGGCTCGTGAGCACGCGGGGACCTTCTTGTTGGCCTGTGTTGTGTGTGAGGGACCTTTCCCAGCCAAGACCCCTCCCCATCTGCCTCTTTCCCCTCCTTTCCCACAGTGGGACAGGTCCTGGGTTCAATTCCCCCCTTCCGGGCCACTTTTTGTTTTGGGGTGGGTCCTACAGACCGACACCTTTCCCAGGAAAGTTATGGGGCTCGTGAGCACGCGGGGACCTTCTTGTTGGCCTGTGTTGTGTGTGAGGGACCTTTCCCAGCCAAGACCCCTCCCCATCTGCCTCTTTCCCCTCCTTTCCCACTCCCTGCCTCCTCCCGCAGCTGGGATTTCTGGCTCCTTCTCGTTCTCCCAGCTGGAAAAGATCTACCGCCCGCCTTGCATGATCTCCCTGCCACGTCCCTCACCTTCAAATCGAATTAAAGGCCTCCCCCCAACCCTTATGGTTTTTCTGCTAATTGCTCCCACAATGGGCCCCTGTTACAGCCGGCCTGTCAATTTAGGCCCCTGCTGGGGTGGGAGGAATTCTGTCAACCGCTTCCTACTCAGCTGGACAAGGATGGGTAAATCTAGGCTAGCCTGGGTGTAATCTGGAGCCTGTACAGTTAGGACGGGGTGGATTAAGGGGATGGAGAAATTCTAACTCTCCCTTGGCTCCCCAGCGTTATTTTGCTATTCCTGGAGCCCGGATCCGTTCATATATTGTCCTTTCATTATCGTTGCTACTGTGGTATTATTTATGCTGGAATTAAGCTAGATCCCCAGTCTAGGAAGTTGTTGAGTATTTAGGCCGAATGAAAAAAAACTGATTATTTTCTGCATGACAAAAAGCAGCGCAGGCTTTCAGTACCCCTCGGGTATCAGAAGGGGTTGCTCCCAACCAGCCCCAATTCCTCACGGTTCTTTTGTCACATGCTCACCTCTGCCCCTCCCCCCC